GTCATAAATAGAACAAGGCATCAGTTTACTGTCGGGTTTTGTCGCGTCGCATCCAGTGTACACAGCAGCACTGATTATAATGGGTTCTCCTGTATTTAGGCGCTCGCGTCCGGTGTAGACACGTGTTTAATGTCTTTGCTGAGGAGGAAAGCCTGTGTGTGTCCTATGCCTTAGCAGACAGCAAGAAACCCACAAAAAAATAAATAACATAGAGAGAATAATAATAATAATAATAATAAGTTATTCTCTCTATGCTATTTTTCAATGTTTCATCAAGTGATGCAGGTGTTTTTTCCCCTGTAGGTTTTTTAAATTAAAAAAACATTAATTTTTCATAATGTTTAGTGAATATATTTGGTAGTCTGAGGTGGGATGGGGATTCGGGAAAGGGGGGCAGATTTTTTTTATAGGTTTAAAGGGGGGCTTGACCAAAGAAGTTTGAGAAGCACTGGTCTAAAGTTAACAGACAGTGTTTAAAAAGTGCAGTGCACATGTTTACATATAATTTCATCGCAACATATAGGCCTGGCCTACAGAAAAGAACATTTATGTTTAATCTATCTAATAGTGTGTTGGTCATACTATACAATGATTTATAGCTTGCCTTTGTTGAATAATACAGAACATAAAGAGCTTTAAAAAATAATTGCCTATTAAATCGCAATTAGTAAAACATAGCCCTAGTAAAAACACTACGTCTCAAAAACGGCCCCGTATTACTGTAACGTTACCGAACAGCGTGCAGCCCGGCGGAACCAGAGTATTAAGGACTAGCTTACAGGACACAATGCTGAAGACCGATGAAGCGTTACTAAACCCTGAGTCCTGTGCGCCGCGCGTGCTGCTCGAGACACCGGGCGCCGCGCGCTTTGGTTAGTTGCGGGCAGACACGAGCGCATCCCACTCACCGTTCTGAGTCCTCACGGACTCGCCGGTCGTCCTCTGGCCGAGCACGTTTAACGGACCCTCTATCACGGACATGCTGCATGGAGAGAAGGATGGAGGCGCGGGGGGTTATGGGTAGCGTGAGAGCGGGAGGGGCAGATCTTCTTCTTCTTCTTCTTCTTTTGTTTTTTAATGGCGGTTGGCAAACAGCTTTCGGGTGCATTACCGCCACCCACTGATCTGGAGTGTGGACTCAGGATCTAAATCACTATACACAACACCCCAAAAAAAACAACAACAAAAAAAATTAATTAATAACTTATATATCTCAAATTCTATTTATTAGTCTTGTTGATCCTAAATACTCTACAAGTAAACTCCAACCCTTATCATCTGCAGATTTTTTTAAGAATATTACTAATATTTTGCTCTCCACTCTCTCTTAGTGCATTCTTTAAAATTTCTCTCTCTGAATCATACTTCTGGCAATGCAATAAAACATGGTCTACGGTTTCTTCCTCTCCACAATATTCACACTTTCCATTATTATGCTTTCCAATCATGCATAGAGAACTATTTAGACCAGTGTGACCATTCCTTATTCTTGTTATAACCTTCCCCTCTTTCCTATTTCGTCCTCCAGTTCCTATCTTTCCAACTAATGGAATATTTTTAAACAGATATCTCCCTTTGGTTTCTTTGTTCCATTGATTTTGCCACATCTTTTTGATCTGTCCCTTTATCACCACCTTAGCTTCTGACTTGCTAATATTTATATTTATGTGCTTATTTCCACTCTTCAAAGCACATTTTGCTGCTTTATCTGCCTTTTCATTCCCATCAATTCCAACATGTGCAGGAACCCACACAAACCTAACAGACAAATGTATTTGATGAATTCTGAATAATGATTGTAGTATTTCATACAATAAGTCCTCTCTACTCCTGGAGTTGCAAAATTTTAAACTCATTAATGCTGCACATGAATCTGATGCAATTAGAGGAGGCACATATGCTCTTACATTATAACTCATGTAACCCACTCTCACTTTATCCGGCAACACCCTCTCTTGAAATACCAACAATATTGACAAACTATCAACCCTTTCTCCTCCTTTTCTTGTTTGCAGACGCTTAATTTCAATAACTTTCCCACCTCCATATATTCCATATATAACGCCTTTCATAAAGGGTCCATCACCTGTCTTCTTGGCTTTCTCCACCTCTTTGCCACACACTTTAGTCATCTTCCTCGCCTTTTCCCTTTGCTTCTCATCTTTACATTTAATTAACAACCTACCATCTCCCAACACTTTCGCCATCACAATTTCACCAATTTCCTCCTTCAAATTGCGAGTCAATGCCACCGGACTCACTTTTCTTATATCATGTCCTTCCTTGAAACTCATAATTACTTTAAACCCCTCATCTTCAACCTCCCTCCTACGCACTAACCTACCTTCCTTACTCCCATCTGAACTACTGCTTTCTTTACTACTATTACTCCTAACTCGTTTGTTTCTGGGAGGGGCAGATCAGTCCAGAAGGGCCGCTTTTAGTTCACAGCACGAGCCACCGAAGGCATTTATTAAGACTGAGGGACATCTGGTGGACTGGCAGCGCAGCGGCGGCCCTGCGTCCCAATCTTCAGCCGATCCATCCTAAATAGCATGCGAGATTAGAATTAGTGTGCTCCAAAGCATAGTATGTTGAAGAGAGTATGCCAAAAGTCCCCGGATGGTCTGCTATTTCAGGCGGATTTCTGAAGTGTGGATCCGTCCTCAAGGACCTCCACATCGTTTAGTCTTTGTGAGGACCAAATGCAATCAAGTATAATTCAAGTTATTTGACTTGTCCAGTATTTGGCCGTATCATCCATTATATTGGATTTTTCTTTCATGGTGAACAAAATATACAAATATACAAAACATATACAAAGATGCATACTTTATGGGCCTACTGGCATTACGTCAAAGACCACCAGTGTTGGGGAAAGTTACTTTTAAAAGTAATGCATTACAATATTGCGTTACTCCATAAAAAAGTAACTAATTATGGTACTTAGTTACTTTTTATGGAAAGTAATGCGTTACGTTACTTTTGCGCTACTTTTTAAATCTGGACAGGGCTTGCTTGTTTGTTTTTAAAATAAAAAAGTTATATTTTTGGCAAATATAAAAGCCTTTTCACACCAAAAGTGAAATGAATAAGCCTCAGGCTGAAGGGAAAGTACAGTTACGTCCGTACAGTAGAATGCAGAAGAAGACATTTCAACACACTTCAGCAATAAACAAAGACACACAAATGTTTGTCTAGAGTAATTTGTGCTTATTAGTACGGCTGAACTGGATCATCGAAGGTCAGAAGCAAAGACAACGGGTAATAGAATGGGATTAAATACATAAAGGATATTTGTGTTGTTTAACATTTAATTATTGCAGGTTTGCGTCATATTCTGAGTTGCATTATTTTTATTCATTTTGAGGAATACTGAATCTGTGTGTGTGTGTGAGTGAGATGAATTAATGCATATTCATATTTATTTTAGAACTACAGTAACATCTGATTTCTCTCAACATGGGGATCGGAGAGCTTTCAATCAATAAATTGAAAAAAAAAAGTAACTTGCGTTACTTATCTGAAAAAGTAACTCAGATATTCTCTTGTAAATTAAAAAGTAATGCGTTACTTTACTAGTTACTTGAAAAAAGTAATCTGATTACGTAACTCACGTTACTAGTAATATTACCCCCAACACTGAAGACCACTAGGGGTCCACGGACCCATGGCTGAGAAACACTGCTCTAATGGTTAATATTACCCACAATACATTGCGCTTTGGCGAATCATTCTGTTCAGAACTACAAACATGAATAACAATGTTAAAAAACTACAAATATGGCGAGACCTAGTAGAGAGGTTTAGATAAAGGGGTTTGAGTTACTAATAATCAACATTTAACCTGGTGAAAATATGTATTTAATGTTATCTATGTTATATTTGATCTGCAACAACAATGTGAACATTTATAAATGGATCATTATGCAAAAAAAATTATAAATAAATATGAGCAGAGTTCCCAGCATGAATACCCAACGTGCTACTTCTTTTCTCTAATACGGAAGGAAGTTAAATTGAATGAAATGTAGAGGATGTGTTAACTGTGACAAGATGATTGACAGACCAGTTTACAGTGACAGGGTGCGTGTATGAGACAGAGCGGTATGACGTGACAGTATGTCCCAAGGCTTGCCTACTCTTCTACTAATTTCAAGGTTTAAATTTTTTTTTTATTTCGTGTTACTAAACAATAATCACATTTTAATTATGGACCATTTATATCACCAGGCTCAAATTGTGAAAGATTGGCCACCAGAGTCCTGAGCTTAACCCCACTAAAAGTCTTTGGGATGTGCTAGACTCGACTTTACACTGCCTGTCTAAAAAACAGTCCCACACTAATGTTTTGTTGGATCACCTTTAGCTTTCATTCTATGCATTCATTGTGGCATTGTTTCATGAACATCATGCAACATCACAGCATTTATTTCCATCAAGAGTTGCATTAATTGTTGGCTGAGATCTTGTATGGACAATGAGAGAGTTGAACCACTCTGTCAAGTCGACTCCAGCACATCCTAAAGACTTCCAATAGGGTTAAGATCAGAACTCTGTGGTGGCAAATTCATACAAGAAAATGATTTATTATGCTCACTGAACCACTGTTTCACAAATTGAGCCTGGTGAATCTTGTAATTGTCATCCATTGTCAAAATTTTTTTTTAAATGTCGATTTGAAGTGTCAGGTTTTTCATTATGATTAGAGTCAAACCAGAAGACAGAGAAAGCTTTTTGTTACCCATAATCTAATCTGAACATCAAAATTTAACAAAAAATGTAGAACTCTGATTTCAACCTCTTAGTTTTGAGTCTTCATACCTCGGCTATGTGTGTATAAGTGGGTGTGTCTGTTTTGCACTCTTGATGTTTTAGAGTTTCACACATTCACTGCCGGGTTTTTTTTTTTTTGCTTTATGGCAGAATTATTGAATTTATTTAACAAATTCTCAAAACTTTACTCTGCGTTACAGTCACACCAGTTAATGTGTGTGTGTGTGTGTGTGTGTGTCTACTTCACACTTAACGTTTGAGTTTCACCCCTTCACTGCTTTGTGCTTGTTTTCCTGCATTATGGCTGATTTGTAGATGGTAAACGCAAATAAATATCTATATTTTCATTTTTTTTTGCCTATTTCCCATTCATTTCCAATGGCAGTAATTTTTTACCGCAAAGAACACATTACTTTTTTTTTTTAATCAAGTCGACATTGTGTGTGTGTGTTCACATGGCAAGTGTCACAAAAGTCACCAAGATTCATACCATTGTGATGAAGTTAATTCAAAACATATTTTTCCAGTCTAAAATGAATGTAATGTAAACATTCAAAATCTCTCTTAATTGCAAACTAATTTTATTTAAAGTTGTGTTTGGTCTCCATCTTATTTCCTAACATTTCCAAATGATGCTAGAGCTTCATTCGCATGTTAAAAAGTGACTAAAGAAAACATAATATAAACTAATACTTTACTTTGTGATGGCAAAACTGAAGGCAAAAGCAGTTTGTTTTAATTGAATGTTTATTTGTTGCCTACAATATCGACCAGTTACAACTAGGCAGATTAAAAAAAAAAAAAAAGGCAAAAACTTAAATTACGATCATGAAAATAGGTGAATGGCAACATTTATGAAAATTTACATCTTTATAAACAGATTGTTTAAAAGGAAGGAAAGTGCAAAAGTAACAATTCCAATGGATAACAGTCCCCACCAGTGAATCAGAAATCAACATGTACAACTAAATAAAAATGAAAGAAAAAGTATATAAACATACTTCATTTAAAGCGTCCATCAATATTTAAATTCAGTTTATTTACACTGGTACTTAATAGATTATGGTTTTAGGAGATTTCTTCTTTCAATGTAACATTTTGATAAGGCAGCATCTTTGAACAATGCTCATAAAAACATATTAGAATTACAGTTTCATCAAATTTGAAGCAAAAACTAAAATTGTTCAAATCTGAAACTTGGGAGGAAGTATTTAACATTTTTCCAGAAGTAAATAAATAAGAAAAATCAACTGAAATGTGCTGTGAAAATCACTAATAAAAATAGCGAAATCTTTGGGATGACAGACCAGTGTGTAGTTCGAAGGCAAAGACAGGGTGGGGACAGCCAATGATGAATACATTAGACACTAAACGCTTAAATGATCAGACAGCACAGTATTGAACTCAAATTTACATCCAATTACAGTACATTTTTGACACCTCAAACTCCTCAGTCTCCATCATGGTCCCTGAACACAATCAGATTAACCTAAAATTAACTTATAAATTACATTGTCCTTTTTTGCCAAGTACATTTATTAACGGTGGTCCTAATATGACGCTAAACACAAATTAACTCTAAAAACAGTATAGTAAATTTATGCCATAATCACTGATAATATGCTAATGTCTGAGGAGTGGTTGATTGTAACTAGGATTTTAGCAAAAACCTGATCACATTTTTAAATATACTTATGACTTCCCAGTCTGATAAATCTATATCTATACCAAATGTACAGCATAGTAAAATATATATGGATTCTATGTATTCTTGGCCTCGGAAAAAATGTGGCATGCAAATATTACAAATTACACACTGAATGGTCACTGGTTGATGTTACCACCTGTAGATGCAGCCACCTACACAACCAAATTTACTACCTTCTACACAATTAAATGTAAATATTTAATTATTGGCTTAAGGAACTGTCAAAATGTTTACACAGAAATTATGGCAGATTATTTAATTAACATCACCAGTCATGTGCGCCTTATGTGGCTTATCTTAAAGCTTGTACGGCAACATTTATGTACATGCACTAGAATATTATGACCAGTAGTTTGAGAATATTGTAACAGTTTCAGAGAGAAATAAATTTAATTTGTACCTGTAGTTCAAGCCCATGTAGCCAATGTGTTTCTTTCATTTCTTAATACGTATAATCATGATCTGACATGTGCATTAAAATTCATGTGATATAATTATTGACTTCATATTAAGGAAAAAGAGATGAGATAAATCAGTTGAAAGATGTTGTGTACAGTGTTCCGCTTAGATCTATAACTACCGTGTTTAACTGAATTCAAGTGTTGAGATGAGCATGAGTAATGCTGAATCCATAATTTACAAATCGTATGTTGTTGAGTGCATGTAGCTCTGCAAATTTCAATGAATTAAGAGTTAAAATGTTGTATTTCTTGTGCTTCGTGTTGTGTCTTTAAGTTGTGTAACATGTTCCACGTGGAAGTAAAGTTTGTTGTGTCTCATTTCTTCCTATGTGCTAAGTATGTGACATGTTGTCCATCTTTGTTGCTTCCTATGCAAAACTGCTTGAGCTGAGACACTGGAACTTTTCCCTCAGTGACTGGGCAATAGTGGGCTGATTCACACCTTGCTGGCTGCAGTCCGGATCATTCCACAAGTATCCCTGCAGAGCCATCTCAGGGTTAGTGGAAACCTGCTGTCCTTTTATGAGAGTTTGCATGCTGCCTTGAGGCGGGTTGCAGTACTTTACAGTAGTTCCCCTTAGACTGTGCGGCTGAGCAGTTTCCTGCTTCTGCTCCTCACCCTCATCTTCAGAACGGATCTCTACATAGTCGTCATCATCATCTCCAGTGTCTTTAAAGTTGGCCAGATAATTCTCAGTGGCACTTTGCGCATTCAGTGGCACATTTTTGTTGAGCACCAGTATTTGCTGTGAGTCCCGCAGTGTGATATCACATGGCGCTGAGAGGTCTGAAGTCCCCTGGATGGGGCAATCTGGGAGGCTGCGCTGCCGCGGCATGTGTGTCCTTGATTCGTGTCCTTTGACCTCCCACACCTGGTTGCTTGGACCCCTGCCATTCTCTTTTCCGGTCTGGTCTATCAGTGAAGATGACTGGCAGCGATTATAGGGCGACACCTTGGCATTGCGTGGTCCAATTGAAGTGTAAATGTGATCAGAGTCATCTTTAACTGGTGTCACACAAGCACTCCAACGCTGATTGGGTGGAGCACTCGGTGTAGGAGGGAGGTTCTTCAAAGCAGGAGTAGAACTTGCAGGTGCCAGTCCTCTCTGTGGGGTTGAAGTGCATACTGTTGTTTCTGCAGGCCAAGACACAAAATCAGCAAGTTCTCCATTACTGTATGTGCAGCTCAACCAGTCAGACTCTTGGGAAGAGCTCTCAGATAGGGAAGGGGAGGATGTGGTGCTGGGGAAAAGTGGATGGGGGCCGGCAATACTGATAGAGGACTTCAGCATTGGCGTAGTGGATGGAGAACCTTTAAAAACCACCTGTTCATACAGATGAGAGTACTCTGCTATTCTTGCACCTATGCAAAAGAAAGGAAGACATTCATAAACCAAAATATCACATGTTTAATCTTTATGAATAACACATTGTAGAACAAAGAAAAAGAACATTAGCCATACAAGTGTGTCTTACCTATTGCAGCGCCACCTTGTTTCTTCTCCTCCAGTATGGCTGCCAGGTCTTTCTGTTTGCTTAGTGTTAGCTTAGCACAACTGGATTCATGGTCCATGCTCTTCATCTTCAATAACTGGTTGGTCTTTTTGATCTTCTGACTGTACTGTCTAGCCATGAGGAACACTCTGTTCTTGCCCCTCTCCCCAAGCTCTAGAAACTGGTCCCCAGCTTCCACGCTCAGCAGCATACTAGAGGAGCCAGAGTCCATGCTACTAAACAGGGTCTGAAGCTCTGAGTCCTTTGGTGAAGGGATATCCTCATCATCCATCCTGAAGCTTCCACTGCTTAATCTTGCAAGTTTTTTGCGAATGCTCTTCACTGTACCAGGTTGAGGCTCTGGGGTAGGAGGGAGTGGAAGGGAAGGTGCTGCAGGAGAAGATGCTTCATCTTTCTCATCCAACCTAGTTTCTACAATTTCGGGAATGTTGATAATAGGGATCTGGAGCGCTGGAGAGGGGTTAGAGGCTGGTGGGTTGGGTGACCCAGATGCAGCACGAACAACAGGGGCCATTTTTAAGGGTAATTTACACAGAGAATCATTTGTCTTTTGTGCAGAATTGGCTTTCTTACTTGGAGATTCTTGCGCTTTGCATTGGGAATCACTAGCTCTTTGTTGCAGCCTATTCCCTTTACTTGGGGAGTTATGTGTTTTTTGTGGAGAGTCTTGTGCTTTGTGTGGGGTATCATGTACTTTTTTGGGAGAGTCCTGTGTTTTACATGCAGCATCCGTTCTGCTTACAGGGAATGCAGCTGGAAGTCTGTCTGGCTTCTTTTCATTGTTCCGGATGTAATTTTCCAAATCCGTCCAGATCTCGTCCACTTGCTCTAATGTATGATCAGCTGTGGAAATCTGAGATGATTCAGTGTCTGAAACTGCAGCAGAGGGAATGTGAGGCTGTTCAACCTCTGTCTTATTTGTAGGACAGAGTTTTTCCTCAGATACAAACCCTCCTAAAATCTGGCTAGCCATGAGGTCTACTTCAGATGTCTTCAAACTCTCTGGTTTTCCCTGATCCATCTCAGCTGCAAGGACTGGGGGCTCCTGGAAGACAATGGTATCATAGACATTCTCCTCATCCTCAACAATTTGCAGTTCACACGTCTCAAGTGGCTCCCCGCCTTGACCAGAAGACCTATTGCTCTCACATGAACTCTCGGTTTCAGTTGGAGTTATTATTACTTGTGGTGCTATCCTAGATTTGACCTCTGCTACCTCAGAGTCTACATGGTTAACTTGATCCTTGCGGATAAGCCCCATGGCCTGAAGCTCCTCGTAACTAATGTTGTCATAAACATTCTCTATATCATCAATTGTTAACTGCTCGGCTGAAGAAGACCCTGAGTTTTCATTGCTTGAAGACTCAGTCTGGTTGTTGGCCTCTTTGTCTTGTAGGGCTCGCTTGGTAGGGCTTTGTTGCTCACTTTGGTTTTCTCCAACACTGTTGGCCCTACGAAGTATTCTGCTCCTGCTTGTGGGGAGGTCTAGCCGTGATGATTTAGTTTGTTCAACATGCCAGCTACAAGGTCTTTCTGGATGGTCAGCAGTCTCATGGTCACTCTCGACATCATGACTGCTCGTATCATTCTCCGTTGGCAGGAACATCTGATAGATGTCTTCATCATCATCAATTTGAAAACTCTTTTGACGAGTTGGAAACATAGCCCTCCGGACTCGATGATCTGTCCATATGTTGCGGAAGGAAGGTTCCTCTCCAGTTCCCAGCATGTTAGAGTAGCGTTCATCTCTGTCTCCTTCTGGAGGTGCGGTAACCCGTAGGATAGGGGGGGTGATAACCTTATTTTGCAGGGACTCTTTAGCAGTCTGAATGAAAGAAATTAATAATCACTTTTACCATTCATAAGATTAGGGCTGCAGGAACTCCAAAATAATTATTTTGTTTATGCCACATATTTTGTTTATCACATTATGTCCTTACCTGGAGGTCTGCATGAGTAAGGTTGTGATTTCTCCACTGGTCAATGCTGTCCACCGACACTTGCTGTTTCAGTCTTTTCCGGCTGCCCTTCCCTGGTTCTCTCAGCTTGCCCTCAGAGCTCTGGTCATACAAAAGTTGACTCTTAGGGTGTGTTCACACTTGTAGTTTGGTTAGTTTGGTTCATTGGGTCCAGACCAAAAAGGAAAATGATACATTTGGTCCTGGTCCGCTTTCACATTGGCACTTTTGACAGCAAACTTAAAGACAGCGAACGTAAAGGCATAGTGATACATTCACAACCTGATTGGTCTGCTTGAATGACGTATATATCATCATTCATAACTCACCGAACACCCCAAACAAAAGGTGCGTTAGACTTAAAGGTGACATATCATGAAAATCTGACTTTTCCAGGTTGTAAGTGCTATAATCAGGTCCCTGGTGCATCTACCAACCAAGGAAACGTGAAAAAGATTAACCCAATCACTTTCTTTAGGTAAGCCTTTTTCTGCAAGCATCTGAGAAAACGAGCGTCTCTGATTTCGCTCCCTTGGTGATGTGGCAAAGGGATCTCATTATAATATTACCGCCCCTAAATCTGTAAAATTCCACTCAAGGCACCGTAATTTTGATTTCGCAAGCAACAACGGTGTACCAGTTCTAATGCCATGGCGAAAGTTTGAGCAAAACATGCTAACTGTTCTGTCTTTGGCTGCAGAGGTGAGCACAGAACACTGTGTCCCAGCCTCAGAGGAGACAAGAGAGCAGTGATTTATTGATGTATTTAGGCTACTGTATATTGCTGCTGCCACACAGATCTAAAATAAACAAGTGATTTATTTCCCAGCTGTTTTCCTTCACAGACATAACCGACTGTTTTTGTAACTCGTGTGTTTTTAACGTAAACTTGTGTGTGAATGAGAACTTAGATTAGTACTCACATGCTGTGACAGCCGCTTTCTGTCGGTATGCTTCGGATGTGTGCGCCCAGAAAACCGTATATCAGAAGTTTAAACTCATATGGTTTAAAACACATGATTTCAGCGCGATAAACATGATAATCAGAACCAAAACAGATGTTTTTAGCAGATACAAGCTGTAAAGGCGCAGCTCTATTCTGGAAAAGGGGGCGGGGAGCAGCAGCTCATTTGCATTTAAAGACACAGGCCTGAAAAACTGCTTGTTTCTGCTTCCACTCAAAATAGGCATTTTCAAAATGATATAATAAATAATCTGTGGAGTATTTTGAGCTGAAACTTCACAGACACATTCTGGGGACACCAGAGACTTATATTACATATTGTAAAAAGGGGCATAATATGTCACCTTTAATACGGGTGTATGATATCAAAGCATCCATTAACCGATCGGTCTGCTCAGCGCCGCTTTAAGTCGAACACACATAATGCCGTCTGCTGGACTAAGCGCGCTCATTCTTGCGTGTACATACAATTTTATTTTCACCACCTGCAAACTCACAAGGAGCTCATAAAAGGCACTTTACCTCATCGTTGCTCGACGTTTGCCCTCCGCCCATTTTGTTTTGGTTACACCGCATCGTCAAATCATGTCGCATAGCGTCGCATGTTGTCATTACTTCCTGTTTTTGGTTCGTTTAGAAGTATTTGGTCCGTGTTGCTTTCATATATCATTCAAACCACACCAGAGTTCGTTTGGAAGCGGACCGAGACCCATCTTTTCAGCGGTCTCGGTCAGCTTGTTTGGTGCGCACCAGGGTTCGGATGGCAGCGTTCACACTTACTCAAAGAACCGCACTAACAGAGCAATCGCACCAGGGTTCGTTTTAATCGAACCAAACATGACAAGTGTGAACACACCCCTTAGAACACTATTTTTAATCAATGAAACGTGAATCTTTACATTTGAAAAGGTGCTTTTCCTTGCAAAAATTGCAAGTACAAAACTAAGGTGTTGTGAGGACACTGCTATACAGATTTTCCGGCCGTTTTTAATTTTTTTAATTTTAGATACATTTTTGGTTACAGGCCTACGTTCCCTTATTCTTTTTTTTTTGGACATCAGTATGTTAGCATGTCAGATCCGTAACCCAAATCTAGCTAGCTTGTTTGTTGCTACTTTAACTGACCCCTAAGTAATTACTGATATGATTAAAAACATCAAATGTCAATTCAGACTTACCAAACCAGTATCGTCCTCATCATCAGCATCCTGTGGATGTGGCTCGTCGTCAACATCACTGTGGTCACCAGGGTCCAGAGACTCCTGTGATTCGCTAACAAGGCTACGGGATCGGCCAATAGTACCCAAATGGGCAACAGGTGACAGCAGAGTGACTCCCAAACTAGAACACTGTGAGCAAATACATTTTGTATTTATTTTGAATGATTTTTGATCAGATTTGTATAATGGATTAATGCTTTCATGTTATGGGTTATGGTGTTCTTTACCTTTTGAATATCTGGACTGGATACTACAGCAACAATAAGGAAGAGTGAAAGAAAAAATTGCCACAGTGTTTAAAAGATCAATATTATTTACAGGCATATTTTTTTCTCAATTATCATTTTTCAAACAAATGCTACTTACTTATATGTTTAGAGTTTTTCAATAACTTAGATAAGGGCTCTGATGAAACAGCAAGACAGGCAGAGAGACAAAAAGAATTAGTAAATAGATGATCAATGAAAAATTGTTTGTTTGTTTGTTGTATTTGCTGTGGGTCTCACCTGTCTTCCTGCGTACTCTCCGAGGCGATGGACCTTCTTTAGTGTTCACTTTCTTGTCATCAGAGTTGTAGTTAAAACTTGGGTGGTCTGAAAAAAAGTTAAGAATAGTGTCTGAAATCTAGTCTTTGTGAACACTCATGAAGTAAATATAGTGCTGTGTAGCTTTCAGTTTGAAGTTAAAGTAATGCTTACTTGCGGTATCCATCTCCAGAATGGCCTGCTTTGCCTGTAGAAACAGAAAGAACCTTCCTCAAACAGTTCCTTGAAGTATTTATTTGTTTACTATGTATGATAGTATTTGATGAACTACCATGAATTAATTTTTTTTTTAAATGATATGCATATTGCATTGTTATGCAATATGAATTATAAATTAAACTATTAAAACAAAAGGGGGTTAGTTATTTTATTACTTCATTTTCTTAATGCAAAATATAATTTTTTCTTCCTTTTTTTAAATTGAGGAAAAATATGATTCAGACAAATTTATATGTGATTTGCCGTGCTAAAGGTAAATTAAATGCACATAGAAGAAGAAAAAAACTTCCAGACCTTGAAATTAGTTAAACCATTTAAATGAGCCTATAAACGAGTAAACACAAAATTGCATCCCTTTTTTCTGTGAAAAATTTAATTTTGACTAAGTGGCCTCTGGGTGGCGCTATGTCTTCCCTTCTGTAAATACAGAAATTTCGGCTCCACCTTCAAGTTCTTTCATGTGAACTACTTTATCGTGACACAGTTGAGTGTGAATAGCCAGATTTGGCCACAGCTGTCTAATCACAGTGTACACTGTACGTTCTAACCTTGGCCGGTATTTTGGCTGGATGGTTTTCAAGGATCAGCCGTTTTAGATGCAGGACCCACATTCTCTTGTCCTGTTGAGACTTCGCCTAAACGTGGATTAGAGGCATAGTGTGAGTGTGAGTGTGTGAGAGAGAGAGAGAGAGAGAGAGAGAGAGAGATTTTGAAATAGTACCTGCACAGTGTGTTGAAGTTTGGGGTTCTTGTAGTGAAACACGCTGAAGCTAAGAGGCTCTTTAGGAATGACTTCTACCAACATTAGATTACAGCACTGCAGAAATGTAGAGATGGGAGGAGAACCAGATTATAGATTAGAATAAGGAGCACAGTCATTTACACTTTCAAACATTTTATTGAACCATGACAACAATTTATGCATATTTCATTTACACACTGTCAGAAAAAAAATGGCAAAAATTGTACATTTAGGGGTACAAAAGCTTGTCACTGAGGCAGTGCCCTCTTTGTAACCTGCTTTACCCCCAAAGATTGCATATTAGTAACTTTGAGCAGTAATATGTACCCATAAGGTAGTAATATATATTCTTATGGTACTATTTTGAACCCCCAATAAAGATGAATAAGGTACAATGGTGTCCCTTTGAGGGCACTTCCCCAATGACAAGCTGTTGTGCACCTAAAGGTACAGTCTTTGCACAGATTTTTCTGAAAGTGCACACTGCTGTGAAAGTTTAACTAAAACCAGTTTATTTTTTGAGCTGGTTAAAATAGGTTTTCACAACCGGATCAACTGCTTGATCAGAATCAGAGTTAAATTCCACCCCCTACCCTTACCCCTGCAGGTCTATTTCCACAGTGTACAATTTGGGTTCGAACCACAGAACATTTGCATCATCATTAAGAGTATAATCTGGAGCTGTTTACTACAGTAGCTGTATAATGACCCATTTGTGCCTTCAAATTTTCCACCAAACTTTACACGCACAGAACGTTGCTTGTATTTGCCATAGATACATTGCAAGAGAAGCAAAGAATGCAAACTGCTCTCCGAAGGTCATATTTCAGAGACAAGCATCAATGAGAAATGCATTATGAACAGCTGGTGAGGACAAGGCTGACTTGGTAGACCACTTTGGTAGTCTAACTACCAATAAAAATAAAACTACCAAGTCCTGAACACCAGCTTGACCACCTTGACCTGATTGTCCAGAATGGGAAACTAGTAGGTATATGGACTCTCACCAGGATATGGGCTTTGTAGGTGTAAGTCTCCTCGCGTTTCTTGGTGATCAGCAGAACTTTGTCGAACAGGAAGAGTGTTCTTTCATTTTTCGCTCTCTGGATACGGAATGTTCCCTCAAGAACCAGCTCGCCATAGCCAATCAGATCAGGCCCCTTCCAGTTAGTCAGCAAACTCTGAATCTCCTGAGAGAGAGAAAGTGTGAGCAGAAGAGGAGGAGCCTCACTCTTCATGTACATCAGGTAACTTAGCCGACGGGCAAGTTGGGAACAACGTTTATGTCTGATGAATCTCAAACATAATGTTCTATTATCTATTACCACACATCCATAAAAAAGCGTGCACTCTGTAGCCAAAACTGAACTACTGGCTGGTGGGCTTGTGTGCTGCCAACATAGTAGACCAGGGGTGTCCAATCATGCTCCAGGAGGGCCATTTTACTGCAGTATTTAGCTCCAAAAATTGCTCCAACACATCTGCCTGGAAGTTTAATAATCCTGAAGACCCTGATTAGCTGGTTTAGGTGTTTAATGAAGGTTAACTCTGCAGTAAGATCATCCTCCAGGAGAAGAATTGGACACTGTTGTAGACCATCTACAGCACCTTGTGCCAGCAAAAAAACAGCTACCATTTTCTAAACAACTACATGACCTCCTTTTTACAAGGCTGGTTTCCCAAATGCATCACAAGCCTAAATAGATGGTGGAAGCTATTGGCACCAATGATCTTTATGATTTACTTAGGCTTACAATTCTTTGGGGAACATAGTCCAGATCAGTTTACCCTCTTGTATTTCTTGTGAAGTAACTGATATAGCTGTCTAAATGGTGCATAGTGTGTATATGAGTGTGTGTGTGTGTGTGTGTGTGTGTGTGTGTAAGGTTCACAAACCTGCAGTCTAACTGCATGCTCGTGTTTTCTCTTCATGTCATTGATGTGCCAGGCAACCCTCTGCATGGTGTCAATGGCCTCCTGGATCACGTCGTACATCTCTGAATCCTTCTCTAGATGAGTGGCAATCTCCTGCAAAACAGCAGTACATCTCTGACCTCAGATCATTGTGTGTGTCTAGTGCAGTCTTTTTGTGCACGTGTACCATGTCTGGGGTCTGTGTGTGTATAGAAAGGTCACTCTGGGTGTGTTTGTACTTACATGCAGTAGTAGATGATACTTTAGGATCCTCTGGACAGGTTTAAGCAGGTAGGAGCCGAGAGGAAGGGAGTGTTTAAGACTTTCCTGGCGCTCTCGCAGAAACTTTGCCACTGTTTTATTCCGCATGCACTCTGTTAAGACAGCAACGGACCTGCGGATGCACACAAACACGTGTTATCAATAAAAGATGTTTAGTTTATATCCACTCAGACTGCGGCAGATATGCACAATATAAACATGTCACGCACATACTATTGATTCTGCATCTCTCTATGATGAATTTGTTCAGGCTACAACCAAAACTACATATACAATGGCCAAAAAAGCACTTAAGTGCACTTAAAAATATCTGAATGTCATTACATTATATATCAAAATATCAAAGTAAATGTCGTCTTCGCTTTTTTCATTGATGATGAGTGACTTTTAATCAACTGGAGATTTATGTTGTATGTAGGGGAAGTCAGTTCCTCTCACATTCACGCAGGTGTCCTAGCAGACTAATCATATATGTAGTTGATAACATCAACCATGAATGTGATCCAGTGTTTCACAATGGCTTTTTCTTCATTTTGAAGTAAATCTCTTTTTTAGCATTGAAAACCCAAGAAACTTCCGTTTGTAAAATAATTAGCTTGAAATCTGTGCATGCTATCTGCCTTTGAAATAAATGACACTTGGGGCCAGATTTACTTAACAGGGTAAATTAGCATGAGAATGCAATCCCATACATGCAGTAATGGGAGTGGACAATTCTGCGGTTGATCTAGACCAGTGATCCTCAAATCTGGCTCGCGAGATCCACTTTCCTGCAGAGTTTAGCTCCAACCCTAATCAAACACACCTACCTGTGATTTTCTAATGATCTTGAAGATATTGATAAGCAAAACTTAGGTGTGTTTGATTAGGGTTAGAGCACATACTATTGATTCTGCATCTCTCTATGATGAATTTGTTCAGGCTACAACCAAAACTACATATACAATGGCCAAAAAAGCACTTAAGTGCACTTAAAAATATCTGAATGTCATTACATTATATATCAAAATATCAAAGTAAATGTCGTCTTCGCTTTTTTCATTGATGATGAGTGACTTTTAATCAACTGGAGATTTATGTTGTATGTAGGGGAAGTCAGTTCCTCTCACATTCACGCAGGTGTCCTAGCAGACTAATCATATATGTAGTTGATAACATCAACCATGAATGTGATCCAGTGTTTCACAATGGCTTTTTCTTCATTTTGAAGTAAATTTGAAGACGTGTTTTGAAGTAAATCTCTTTTTTAGCATTGAAAACCCAAGAAACTTCCGTTTGTAAAATAATTAGCTTGAAATCTGTGCATGCTATCTGCCTTTGAAATAAATGACACTTGGGGCCAGATTTACTTAACAGGGCAAATTAGCATGAGAATGCAATCCCATACATGCAGTAATGGGAGTGGACAATTCTGCGGTTGATCTAGACCAGTGATCCTCAAATCTGGCTCGCGAGATCCACTTTCCTGCAGAGTTTAGCTCCAACCCTAATCAAACACACCTACCTGTGATTTTCTAATGATCTTGAAGATATTGATTAGCAAAACTTAGGTGTGTTTGATTAGGGTTAGAGCTAAACTCTGCAGGAAAGTGGATCTCGCAAACCAGATTTGAGGATCACTGATCTAGACAATGCGCAAATTAAAGGATACAGCTGGATCATTTCCATAATGACCAATGCAATCGACCAAGAGAAGCGCAAATTAGCGTAGGGTCGCAAACAAGCAAAGCCAATGGTAATCAGGTGTGGGTAACAAACACAGCAGAATGGGTTAAGACGTTTTTTTTTGTTAAATAATGGCACAAATACCAGTAAACTGACTACCACAAACCATGGTAAATCATGTTGCATGATTCGTTTAAATACTCTCCTCCCGTAAATTTTGTGTCTGAAAGGGAGACTTCTACAAATGCGTATGCAATAAGGTCAGCTGCAAAAATAACTGTCTTCACCTTTTCATCACTATTTGTCTTTAGTCAATCCTGACAGCACCATTTTAACACCAAAAGAGGGTTTGGGCTGGCGCAAGGTGTTAGTAAATCTGGCCCTTGGTTTGAGACTTTATCTAATACAGTGACATTTAGACATTTTTAAGAGTGGCTTAAATGGATAGTTCATCCAAAAATGAAGATGTATTCTCTGTGGAACAACATGAGGGTGAGTAATTGATAACATAATTATAATTTTTAGGGGGATCAAGTGTCCAAACGTTTTTCTGGGGGCTAATGTACAGTATATTACTGCTTGCATAAACAAATTAATACACGCAGACATACACACACAACGAAGACGCATGTATGCACAGTTGGGAGAGTAAGGTCAGGCCCTTCTGTTAAACCACAGATTTTACAGTTTATTGGATCTGCTGCCACGCCTCAGAAAGCACTGGGACAGATAGACGTGTGTGTGTGCGCACATTCCAGCATCCTGCGCACAGACTTCACATTGTCCCAATGGGAAATATAACCGGAGTATCACTGAGATACAGCTATTGCTTTCAGGAGTGTTACTGTATGTGTGTGTGAGTGTGCCATATGACCTTGGTTAGGGTCAACAGCTGTGTGAGGGTGTGCAGAGAGGGTCTCCGGGCCCAGACAAGAATCCATGCATGCACACACACCATGCGGGATGATGAAACTATACTGTCAGGTCACTTTTAATTTCTCCTAGCATCAAAAGTAGGACTTGTGACAGCACGTGCTGCACCAGTGTATGTGTGTGTGTGTTTGAAAAGAAACCATGGGTGTGGGTGGTATTTTGCTAGGGAAAGGTGTTGTATGTCAATGCTTTTGTTGAACTTTGTCATATTTCAGGCTTATGGATAGATTTAAATCTCTGCACATATACATGCACCCAAAGGCAAACACAGTTGACACATATTCACAATAATCTCCTGTAACCTTTATTCAAGACCTCAACACTGTTCAGTCACTAAAACACTGACTTAGTATTTATTTTCATCTGTAATTCTCACCTCAAAACAAATGTTTGTGAAGTTGACCCAATGCAGCTTGCTAACCAAGCAAATTTAAGCTATTTCAAAAGCACTTTTAAAACTGAACGGCGTAAACGTGTTTCTATTAATATGGAATAAAACCCACTAATTTTAGTGTTTAGCTAAGTTTTAGTTTTGGTTAGTCTGGTCCACTTGGCCCACAGCAGTCTATGCTAAAGAATTTAGAAGAAAATACAGAATGTAGACTTTGTAATCATGAATTGTATGTGTTTAAAAACCTCTGCTCATGGATGTCTTGTGTACTTGTTATTGTAAACGTGTTTCTATTAATATGGAATAAAACCCACTAATTTTAGTGTTTAGCTAAGTTTTAGTTTTGGTTAGTCTGGTCCACTTGGCCCACAGCAGTCTATGCTAAAGAATTTAGAAGAAAATACAGAATGTAGACTTTGTAATCATGAATTGTATGTGTTTAAAAACCTCTGCTCATGGATGTCTTGTGTACTTGTTAGTAAATGTGGCCCTGGAGCACAAAAGCAGTCTTAAGTCGCTGGGGTATATTTGTAGCAATAGCCAACAATACATTGTATGGGTCAAAATTCCATGTCCCATGAAGATATTTTGTAAATTTCCTAGCATTGCTAAGAACTTCATTTGGACAACTTTAAAGGAGATTTTCTCAATATTTTGATTATTTGCACCCTCAGATTCCAGATTTTCAAATAGTTGTATCTCGGCCAAATATCGTCCTATCCTAACAAACCATACATCAATGGAAAGCTTATTCATTCGACAAATTGACCCTTATGACTGGTTTTGTGGTTCAGGGTCACATATATAATAACATTTTATGTTACCAATGCTTGTTCTATTAACAAGCATATTTGTCATCCATTACTAACTGTATGATGCATTGTTAGCGAAATTAGTCACGGCTGTTTCCTGAAACCGTAAAAGACTTTGTTGCACGTCTGTTATTCAAACCATGTTCATTCAACAACAGAGCTGTCAGTAATGATGTCACATAGGTGTTGGAGTAATAACGTCTTCTAATGAAATGATCTGAGGTCAAATTAATTAGTCGGATCATTTGCTTTATATTCTTTATTTGTTTGTACCATAACTTTATCTGTAGGCCTATGTCATTTAAAAAAAAGTTTGTTAACCCTTAAAATGCTTGAATGTTTCGCCAATCATTATTACATATTTGGGCCTTTAGCGACCCGGACCTATATATCCAGCACAGATGGATCTCTAACTGCTGCATAGCAAAAAACTCTATTGATGTTTTAAGAACAATTACAGAAGAATAAATTAAAGCATATTTCGTTACCTTTTCAAACGTAAAAGGGTTACAATTTTACCATCGCTGTTATCGTCAGAGCACACTTCCACAGTACATTCAGCATCTGCCTCATATTCACGATCTCAGGCATATTCTCAAAACTTGACAATGACTTGATATTCAATAATTTGATCACCTGGCAGCTTATTCACCACATCCAGTATCAAATGACAGTGACATTTATATATCATTGCGTATAGTAATTTCTCTGCAGTAAAGCCATTCAAACCACTTTTTCACCAATTTTTGCTGATGATATTCGTTTGTTTTATGCCTGCGGTAATTATGAGTGAAACGTCACGTCATCATTGTGTATCAAACAGTGCCACCTTGAGGAAAAAAGATGCATTGCACGTATAGAGTCGTCAGATATGTAAATATAGTTGCGCATGAAAAAATATTTACACATTTACATACCTCGGGTCTCTAGTGACCCTAAGCACTTTTTACAAAATATTTATCAGAAAACCGGCATTCTTTTATATTTTAAATTTTTTTTCTTGTTATATTGTTTATAATTAATAGATTGAGGAATACTAAGAACGTTGATGTCTAACTTAACAAAATGAAGGAGGGAGAGGGTAGAGAATGATGTCCCGGGTCGCTAAAGACCCGAGGTATGCATTTAAGGGTTAATGTACTATTCATTTCTTTAGGGGTAAAAAGATCTTAAAGTGCAAAAGGTTACTTGGTGCATTTTTACATGTAATAAACAAAGGGCTGCTGTATTGGACACGTGATAGAGATAGAGAGACAGCCAGACAGTCAGACAGGGGGTTTCCCTTGGGAGGGGGGGGTATATAGGAACAGACTCCTAGACTCCAATGGTGTTATACACATGCACACACACAAAACATATAATATGAGCACACACTCTCACGGGTCTCACATTCCACACACACACACACACACAGCGAGAACGGGCATCTGAGACAGCCATTGCTCTTGAAGTCTTATAAAGCTCTATATTGAGAGACAGATGGTGACATACAAACCACAGGAAATAAACTACAGCCACAAACCACAGGAAGTATTTCTTACCTTGGATAATTTGTGCAGTACTGCGTGTATATGTGGAAGTCTTCACTCTGAAAAACAATCAGGAAATTAGGGTTAGTTACTCAAAGGAAGACATGTGTTTGTGTGGGGGTCAACCAAAGGTCCCCACAGGGAAATAGCTAGATTAACATATTAAATAATATCATAAAGAAAAGTAATGCAGAAAGGTTTGTGTGAGGGTAAAGAATACTTGTACAGTACATGTTACATGCCTAAATTTAAAAATAAAAAAAAACATTTACTCACCCTCATGTTGTTACAAATTTATAAGATACATACATAGAACACATCAAATATGGTAAACAGAAGTTCAATTAAATGTCCTTGTTAAGCAAGAACCAATAAGGCTTATGTGTGTCTAGCAAGTACAGTTGAGCTTTTATTTACAGTATTTGATGTGCTCTATGTATGTACGTTGATCAATATTTATATGTGAATAAAAGCCAAAAATAAATCTGTCCATCATATAGTGACGGTGTCTCTTCAGGAGAGATGGATTCATATGGATTACTTTACAATGTCTTTTTGAATCATCAGAGTTTGGGTGAAATGGACTTTCAGTGGAGGGACTGATATCTCCCATGTTTGATTAAAACTGCCTTCATTTTTATTTCAAAAATGAATGAAAGCGCACACAAAACAAACACTTTTAAATTTCGATAGAAATTAAATTTAAGTATTTGTTAATTTACCATAGATGCTTGGCAGTATTTGAAAACACAATTTATATTTCTAAAGACAATAGAAGTAATTAGGAAATGTACATTTCATCATTTAGTAGACGCTTTTATCCAAAGCAACTTACAAATGAGGAGATCAATAGAATAGAATAGAGTAGAGTAGAATAGAATAGAGTAGAGTATTTACAGTATTTGATGTGCTCTATGTATGTACGTTGATCAATATTTAAATGTGAATAAAAGCCAAAAATAAATCTGTCCATCATATAAAGTGACGGTGTCTCTTCAGGAGAGATGGATTCATATGGATTACTTTACAATGTCTTTTTGAATCATCAGAGTTTGGGTGAAATGGACTTTCAGTGGAGGGACTGATATCTCCCATGTTTGATTAAAACTGCCTTCATTTTTATTTAAAAAATGAATGAAAGCGCACACAAAACAAACACTTTTAAATTTCGATAGAAATGAAATTTAAGTATTTGTTAATTTACCATAGATGCTTGGCAGTATTTGAAAACACAATTTATATTTCTAAAGACAATAGAAGTAATTAGGAAATTTACATTTCATCATTTAGTAGACGCTTTTATCCAAAGCAACTTACAAATGAGGAGATCAATAGAATAGAATAGAATAGAGTAGAATAGAATAGAGTAGAGTATAATAGAATAGAGTAGAGTAGAGTAGAATAGAATAGAGTAGAATAGAATAGAATAGAATAGACTAGGTAAGTGCTAGTATTAATTGGTCAGGTGCTGGTGAAAAAGAGGTTTTATGAAAATGGCTAAAGACTCAGCTGCTTGAATGGAGACAGGCAGGTCGTTCCAGCAGCTGGGCACAGTCCAGGAAAACGTCAGCGAGAGTGATTTTGTGCCTCTTTGGGATGCCACCACGAGGCGTCGTTCACTTGCGAACGCAAGCTTCTGGAGGGCGCATCAGTCTGAACTAGCGGGTTTAGGTATATTGGTGCAATTACATATTGCACCAATATAAACGGAAATTACATATAAAGAAATTAAATTAAAAGACGTACTTAAGATCCTACTTAAGTAGATAAAAACCCCTAAAGTTCAGCTAATTGCATTTAATATAAATTTATACTATATTACATTTTCATTTAATTGCAATTAACATGCAATTACTGTCAAACATTACATTCAGTTTGTATATATTATTTCTGTAATTACTCATTTTAAAATGTATGCTAAAGTGGACTTCTTTTTCACAAGGGTATGTCCACATTTATATAGCTAGTTTAGTGTGTGTACAGTATGTCTGTACATAAAGCGACAGACTTGCTCTGAAAGGTCACGTCAGGATGTTGCGCTACAGAAAAAGCCTCACGTTGCCAGCACTCACACACGCACACACACACACGCGCGCACGCGCACACAGCGGTTGCAGTGACTGTAATAAGAGTCCTGATGTTGTGTTTACAGTAATGGTAGATGTGAGTGTGCTCTGATTAAATCTCTGTCCTCTCCTCCTTCATCTGGAGTCTTTTGCTCTCTCATTCCGCCTATAAGTAGATAAAAACCCCTAAAGTTCAGCTAATTGCATTTAATATAAATTTATACTATATTACATTTTCATTTAATTGCAATTAACATGCAATTACTGTCAAACATTACATTCAGTTTGTATATATTATTTCTGTAATTACTCATTTTAAAATGTATCCTAAAGTGGACTTCTTTTTCACAAGGGTATGTCCACATTTATATAGCTAGTTTAGTGTGTGTATGTCTGTTAGGCACATAAAGCGACAGACTTGCTCTGAAAGGTCACGTCAGGATGTTGCGCTACAGAAAAAGCCTCACATTGCCAGCACACACACACACACACAGCGGTTGCAGTGACTGTAATAAGAGTCCTGATGTTGTGTTTACAGTAATGGTAGATGTGAGTGTGCTCTGATTAAATCTCTGTCCTCTCCTCCTTCATCTGGAGTCTTTTGCTCTCTCATTCCGCCTGTATGAACATCAAAGCACTTGTAAAATACAGAGAGTCTGAGTATCAAAGAGCCATTTATCCTCTTCCTCTAATATCCCCCCTCTCTCAGCCGCCCCCGCCGGCTTTCACATCTGCCCTCTCTCTCTCCACACACACACACACACACACACTTCTGGTTTGTCATCTCTGTGGGGACTCTCCATAGGCGTAATGGTGTTTCTACTGTACAGACCTGTTGCCCTGTTGCCCTACACCAACTCTACACCTAAACCTACCCCTTACAGGAAACTTTCTGCATTTTTAGATGGTCAAAAAACTTAATTCTGTGTGATTTATTAGCTTGTTTACCCGTGGGGACCTCAATTTAGGTCCCCACCGTGACACGAGTCCCCATGAGTCTGTGTGTATTCAGGTAAATTAACAGTCCCCACCAGAATAGAAAAACAGGTACACACTCACACACACACACACACACACACACAGGTAGCCTTACTAATGAAGGTGGTCTTGCATAAATGCTGTGACCCAATCGCACACATAAACACACTGAGTGGTAGGTTCTCCATGGGAAAACTTAAAATAAAGAGCAGCATACTCTCCTGTTGTTTAAAAGCATTTATCACATGATTTGAATACTCCTATATTCAAATTAATGGACATTTAGTTTTGTGACGGAGCTGTTAGCATATCATGCACTTTGGTGAAAATGGAACTTGTGCTAATGCAATATCCTTCTGTCTGAACTGAAGAGCTGCAAACAGCAGGTGGAGGATCGTTTCTATTCTCAGAGAAACATTGAGTCAGCGTTTGTCCTTAACAGAGAGGAAGAGAAAGGCAGTGTTTTCAGGAAAGCTTTGACAGGAATCAGATGTAATAAAACAACTCACTCTTACTGGAATCCTGAAGCTCCTTTGTGATATTAATACCACATAACTGGCTGAGTAATGCCTTTAAACACACACACATACACACACACACATACACACACACCAGACACACACACACACACACACACACACACACACACACAGAGACAAACACACACAGAGACAGACAGACACACAGACAGACAGACACACACACACACACGGTTCTTGGAGTGTTCGCTAATGATGACTAACCTTTACTGACCAATACGCACACAACTAGCTTAATACACTGTAAAAAGTGGGAACAAGCTATTTCTACCTGATTTAACTGATTTACTTTGTTTTGATAAATTAATGCATTTAGATAGATTCAGCAATATTAAATAATATTTATAACTTGAATGAAAAACAGTTCATTAAGAAGTTAAAATTTTTTAGTTTACAGTTTTCTTTGTTTTTTTGTCAATGTAAAACAGTGCAGTTCATTGTTGTTATTGTTAATTAAAATACTGAAAATAGATTTTGGTAATTGAAATAAAGCAATTAATTACACATATTGGCCTGGCAACTAACTGAAATAAAGTTTAAATTGAAGTACTAAAATTACTAAAACTAAATCTGAAATAAAAATAAATTAAAGCTGAAAAGGGGCCCTCTAATGCTTTTTCACTTTTTCAACTTTACATTTATTCCCACTTTTTCTACTTTAGTTAGTGTGTAATGTTGCTGTTTGAGCATAAAACAGGTCTGCAAGGTTATAAAGCTCAACGTTCACTCCAAAGTGTATTATTCGCTTTAACAGGAAACACTTTTAACAGAACTACAACAAACGGCTCGATCGGACTACAGCGCGCTACTTCCTGATTTAGTGACAAGAAAGTCACTAATTTAAATAATAATTACTGCCCACAGAATACACAAAGAAGAAGGAGGGGCTTCATCGAAACAGGAACTAAACAGAGCGTTCGAGACAGACTAGGAAGCTGCAATAATGTAAATATGTGAAAAATAATGTGTTTTGGAGCAATCAAGCATGAAAACCAAGACTTCATAAAAGGGCATATATGACCCCTTTAATTTAATAAATAAATAAAAATTACAAAAGCACGTAACTAAATTACTAAAACTGAAAATATTAAAATAAAAGCTGATTAAAAAAATGAAAGCTAATTAAAAATACTAATAAATACTATAATAATATATAAATCATACTAAAATAACACTGGTATAGTTTAGACTATAAATTCTGTCTGGATGAGCCACTTGAGATGAATTGGTTTTGTTGTCTTCCTTAGTTGTAAGTTACTTTTGGAAAAAAGTGAAAATACAATATATAAAATATGAATATAAATAAAACATAAATATAATATATGTTCTAAGTTCAGTTAATTATCTTCAATTTTAAATGTATTATTAAATACATACCCTTGGAAATCCAGTACAGGTGGCAAATATTGAAATATTAAAAAGATTAACATCTGATTCACTCTCAGGAATGTGTGGGTTTTAGGCTTTATATGAGATCTTGTAAGCCACAAGTCATATGCACTGTGTAAAATGTCAGCCCCCTGCTAACAGCACATTAGCACAACAATACCCCGAACAAAACAAAGCAGTTATCACACGACACCACAGGACAGAAAACCACTCAAACCAGCTGCATTCCTGCTGCTGTTGATTAGAGCTGTAAAACAGCTATTACACTTACTCAAGTGTGTGTTATTACACTAATCGACAGAGACACTTGAGGTAGGAAACTAATTATAACACGTAATAGGCATAATAGTGTTGATTGTTTGTGTGTGTGTGTGTGTGTGTGAGAGACCATATGATAGCAGTCTTTCTCCATTTGTGTTTCACGGATGAAAATCTGATTTGTAATGACCTGAAAGGTGAGTAAATGATCATCAAATTTTCATTTTTGACAAAAGAGTTTTACCTTGGCTACGAAACACTTTGCAATGGCAACTGGGTTGGCGTTACACTTCTCCAGGTCATGAAGCAGATCACTAAAACACACATACACAAAGAGAGAGAGAGAGAGAGAGAGAATAAATATCATTCCTCACATCCATTAAAGGGCTGAGCCGTTATGAAACTATTCAGATTGTCTTGCAGTTATGAGCTGTATTGTAGGCCATGTACTGTGAGGAAAGACCCACTTCCATGAATTGAGCAGCATCGTGAATGCATGTGTGGTCACTTCAGCATTGCAGTCATATGAGGTAACACTCTGTGTGTGTGTGTGTGTGTGTGGGCTGAATTTGGTGTGAGTCTGACAAAATGTGCAGGTGTGTGTGTGGTCCGAAGTGAGAGGAACTGAGGAAAGAGAGATGGTAAATACAGAGCAGTCAGTCTAAAACAGAAGATCTTTCTTCATCAAGACATTAAGGACATTTTGCTCTGTCATTTTTTTCTGCAAATGGTCAGTGAAGGGAGATGTTTAAAAATATTTAGTAGTCTACCTCAGAAGGTCAAACTAAATGTTATATAAGCTGTTTTATTTTCATTATTTTCATTAATATGAAGCAAAACATATTAAATAAATATTTAGCTTTGTAATATTCAGCCAATTATAATTTTTTTAAATCCTTAAAATTGTGACATCAATTGAACCATTTCAGCAAATAATCTTTCTATTCTTCTATATTTATTTATTTATTTTTATTTACTTTTTTTGTGCACATATTGATGTTTTAAATGCATTTATCAAGTGCAACCATTCAACCCTTACGTTTTTTTTTTTTTTTTTTTGGAAAATGTAAGTTCATAACTACAAGCCAAAATGTCATCCCAACATAGCTGATAGATCAAGATATATTATTAAATCTGCTGTAGTTTTTTAATTTAATTTTAATTTGTTCTGCTTAACTGATGTTTTGGTCATTAAAATGAGTTTGAAAAAGCAAATCATCAAAATAGTATTTTCAATCAAATTATATTATATGACTCTAATGGTTGGAAACTATCGAAAAAGTCAGAATTACTAATAATAGTTTATCCAGTAGTTTCCAAAAAGAAAGAAAATTGGCAAACACCCGTTACATTTCTCTCAAGAGATGTTTCTGTCACTAAAACTAACCTGTTAAAACGGTAGATCTCACGGATGTTTCCAAATAAAGAATTCCTCTCTTCATCTCCCAGCAGCAGAAGAGAATGATTGCTGATGCTCTCCAGGTAATCCTGTGGAGAAACAGACGAAAGCATGAATACTCTCATCAGCATTAATCATGTGGGACGGGCCTGCCGTCCGAGTACCGAGGATATTGTACCAAGACTTGCTACTGCCAAAACAGCCACAACATGCTGCTGTGAGCATGTAAGAAATACTGCTGCTGCACATATAACATATATGAATAACTCCCATATAGCATACAGTGGGGAAAAAAAGTATTTAGTCAGCCACCAATTGTGCAAGTTCTCCCACTTAAAAAGATGAGAGAGGCCTGTAATTTTCATCATAGGTATACCTCAACTATGAGAGACAAAATGAGAAAAAAAATCCAGAAAATCACATTGTTTAATAAGGCCACATTGGATGAATTCATGAACCCAAGAATTAAAAAAAAAAGTTAAAAATAACAAGTCTCAAACCCTTCAAACACTCCCCCATCTTCCACCGGTCCATTCCTTCCAAATACATAGTTGAGTCACTGCAGTTTTATTTGGTGCTGCTAGTGATGCAGAAATGAAACACTTTATGTTTCACAATGAGATTATCGTGCTCTAGTTCTGCAGAAACATACATATGTACTAGTGTTTTTAAAGAACACAGAAACTGTATCTCTCACATACACAAATATAAGCACAGCATGTCAGAATCTGTAACTCCTGCTCCGCCCTGCATCTGAATGTCTCTGTCTTTGGTTGACAGATGAGATAAGTGATTCTCTCACTCTGACGAAAATCTTTAGCTGAACACCCTCAGGCAGTGTAAACTAACCATTCTGTGTGGAAAACACAACCTGTGTCAACAGCCCGCGCACACATAAAGACAGACAGAGAGGTGGGGTAAAAACTGAAAAATAAAGATGGAATGACCCCAGGGAAAAAAACAAAACATCAACATTATCATCAACAAAGCTGTCTACACTGGAAGCACCTGCTTTGCTTTCTTTGAGTATGCTGTTTTCTGTTTGCTTGTAGAAAAAAAGTGCAGAAGATACACTGAGGTAACAAACACTCTATAGTAGAACCTTGACACGCTAATCATCTCAAACCTGCCAAGAACAACATTAAGATGTAATTTCAAGCACAGCAAAGTGCAATCAAGTAATATTGTGATCTATGAAGAGCTAGGGCTGCACGATAAATCGAAATGGAATCGAGATTGCGATTTGACAGAAGCTGCGATTGTCATGCGTGTCTTTCAGTGAAGCACGGTTCTGTGATCAGCAGTAAATCTCCATCCGAAGGACAGAGAAACTCCAAATACGCCTCGCAGAAGAAACCCAGAAAATGCCTATCGCTGCAGCTGAATAAACAGAAGATTCAACTGCTTTCATTGATTCAGCGTGACTAATAAACACACGACAATAATCTTATTATTATAATTTTCATTAAAAATTATGAAGTGAGTTTGGAGTAAAAATATGTTATTAAATGTGGTATTTTCACATGCTTTCAGATGGAGCAGCATTTACTTCACAGAGCCATAGTTCACTGAGAAGCTATGCAAACAGCTGTCATTATCTTCGATTTCAGAATCGTTCAAGAAAATCGCCTGCTTTTGAAAAAAATGAATTTACCAATTAATTCTTTAACAATCCTACAATGTGATTTTCTGGATTTTTTTTTCTCATTTTGTCTCTCATAGTTGAGGTATACCTATGATGAAAATTACAGGACTCTCTCATCTTTTTAAGTGGGAGAACTTGCACAATTGGTGGCTGACTAAATACTTTTTTGCCCCACTGTACATGAATCACCCCGTAGCAGATCAATACAGGTGGAGCTGGGGAAGGTGGAGGGTTTCTGAAGTATGCTGCCAACTGCTACAGCAAACAAAAGCCAGGTATTTGAATATTGAGCAGTGAGCTCATTGGCTACCGATGCAGGAGAGAACCAATCAGCTGTCATGTGATAATGATGTCATTAGATCAGATTGAGCTAGACCTATCAGACTGTGCCATCTGAACTCTGTAGAACTCTGTATTTCAACATGGCCATGATTTACCTAAAACTATGGAATGAATTCATCCAATGTGGCCTTATTAAACAAGTCTTGGGAATTAATTTGTAACTCGTGGACACAATATCTGTTTTTTCCCCCATATGTCATGTACAGGGTAATCCGTATTTTAAAGCTGAAGTGGGCAATTTCTGTGGAACCCAAGAATTAAAAAAAAAAGTTAAAAATAACAAGTCTCAAACCCTTCAAACACTCCCCCATCTTCCACCGGTCCATTCCTTCCAAATACATAGTTGAGTCACTGCAGTTTTATTTGGTGCTGCTAGTGATGCAGAAATGAAACACTTTATGTTTCACAATGAGATTATCGTGCTCTAGTTCTGCAGAAACATACATATGTACTAGTGTTTTTAAAGAACACAGAAACTGTATCTCTCACATACACAAATATAAGCACAGCATGTCAGAATCTGTAACTCCTGCTCCGCCCTGCATCTGAATGTCTCTGTCTTTGGTTGACAGATGAGATAAGTGATTCTCTCACTCTGACGAAAATCTTTAGCTGAACACCCTCAGGCAGTGTAAACTAACCATTCTGTGTGGAAAACACAACCTGTGTCAACAGCCCGCGCACACATAAAGACAGACAGAGAGGTGGGGTAAAAACTGAAAAATAAAGATGGAATGACCCCAGGGAAAAAAACAAAACATCAACATTATCATCAACAAAGCTGTCTACACTGGAAGCACCTGCTTTGCTTTCTTTGAGTATGCTGTTTTCTGTTTGCTTGTAGAAAAAAAGTGCAGAAGATACACTGAGGTAACAAACACTCTATAGTAGAACCTTGACACGCTAATCATCTCAAACCTGCCAAGAACAACATTAAGATGTAATTTCAAGCACAGCAAAGTGCAATCAAGTAATATTGTGATCTATGAAGAGAACTGGCTTTACTAACAAAATGCGCATGACAATCACATTCGATTAATCGTGCAGCCCTATGTAGAGCTCCAGCTTTGTGTCCCCAAAAGACCTTCTAAGTCTTGTGTATTGTCTATTAGATGATGTGTTCGTTCATAAGTGTCCTAATGTGGCGAACAGCTGCTGGAAACTGGGTGACGCTCTTACATACAAATAACCTTTGTGACCTTTTCTCCTTGCATACGTGGTCTAATCTGCCTTTGGGTCAAATGATAGCAGTAGTTTGCATCCTGCTGAGGTTGCACTTTAGGCCACAAGCATCCCTCAAACTCCAGTCAGCAGCTCCTGATTTGATTGTCTAGATCAGCGGTTCTCAAATCCAGTCCTCACGACCCCCCCTGTTCTGCACACTTTGTATGTTTCCCTTAATCACTTCAGACATTTGTTCTATTTGACCGTAAGTGCCCTGAGAAGTGGACATCACAGGATATTCCGCCCCGGTTCCAGTTCGAAGGGAGCGAATATGTTCCATTCTGAGGGCATAAAAGTGTGAGACGTGAATTTAAATTGTAATTTAAGTGTGTCATCCGGGTATTTAAAGTGCACTTTTTCTTTTTGGAATTTTGAGTGTGACCGCACTACTTGCACTATTTATACTAAAAAACGTCATAGAATAGTGCATAAGTACGGGATTTGGGACGCACCTTAACTCTCTCTCACACTCATTTGACTTCTCTTTTCAAGTAACCAATAAGTAATGACCTATAATCTTCATAGCCACACCCTAGCAACCACTTGCAGCACCCTAGCAACCACAGATCAAAAGGGATATCTTTGGATAGAAGTGTCATAGAAACATGGGGGTTTTGCTCCTTTGATAGATGCTAGCAAACAGGAGTTCCATCATGTTACACATGCTAGCAGCAAATAGCTACATGCTAATAGTGATTAGCTAAGTGCTAAATCAGGCTAAGGACATGCTAAGAACTCCATAAAACTCCATATTAACAATCTGTGACAACTACCAACCGCCTAGCAACACAATAGTAACAGTCCAGAACACCCTAGCAATGCCTAGCAACCATCTAGAACTCTCTAGCAACCGCCTAGCAACGCCCTAGCAACCACCCAGGTTACCATAGCAACTTCATAGCAACCACCCAGGATATCTTAGCAACCACCTAGCAACACCATGGCAACCACCCAGAACACCCTAGCAACCGCAGTAACACTACCATGGCATTTTAACCTTTGTGGTCAGATTGCGAGTACCAGATTCAATATGCTCACATTTTTACATTATCTGCAAAAAGTGAGTAAAAATGTCTGCAGATTGGATTTAAACTAAATTTGTGTCAAACCAGGGGTCTTCAATGGAGGATCTAAACGGTGGTCCTAGGGGGTCCAAGATGGTACTGCAGGGGCAATTATTGTTTGATCGCAAACTCATTTTAAGTTAACCTCAACCAAAGATAAAGATCATTGTTCCTCCTCTCATTAACATAAGTCAATTTTGCAAAATTACAACGTAAGGGGTTCTTGCTTTATAAGGTGGGAGACACGCCTGTTACACAGAGTTAAGAGTACTACACTACTATTTGTAAAATAAAATATAACCAAATTAGCTTAAATATCTAATAACATACAAGGCCTTTATTGAGAAACCTTTTATAGATCAGCAGGAGCTACCAACTAACAGTGCATTATGGGTAAGTTGCGAGCTTATTTACAACTTTGAGCTCACAGATATGTTGTAACTAAGAGACAATAAAAAGCAGTAATGTAAAATGAAAATATGTTGCCTTCACTTTACAAACACACATGTGTTTTCAACAGTCTCATGTGTTAACAGAACGGTTGTTTTGCTAACCCACTTTCCTCTCCTTTATCTGTCCTCTCCATCCATCCTGCTTGCTTTCCTTTTCTTCCATTCTCTCCTCAGACCATCTATCATTCTCTCAGAGCCGGGGGCCTGTGAATGTGTCTGTATGGAGGACTAGGTGGGGAAGGGGGTTGCGACCCTCTAAAACTCTCAATCCTCACATTAACAGAGAAAGAGTCAGAAAATCAGGGCAAGGGTGAGAAGAAGAGTTTAGCATTCATCTCCTCGCTCGCTAGGTCAAATGACAGCCATGTGCACTTTACATCTGACAGCTATATAAATCATACACAAAGAAACGCACACACATGCCTCTTACTCAAGGAGCGTCAGTACTAGTTGGAGCCTCATGTTTTATGGGAAGTGCTGTTTTAAGGTTCAAGGTTTGAGCTCAAGTATGGGAACCCATACACTGGAAGCTCACTACCATTTGTTTCCTTGAGCAAAGCACTTCACCCAAAAATAAACTTACTCACTAACTAATTCTGACTTTCTTCCGTGGAAATGAAAATGAAATGTTCTGAAGAAAGTTAAAAACGAACATAAAACTAGTCCATATGACGACATATGCTATAAAAAATATAAAGTTTTATTCACGTCAAGATGTGTCGAACCAGGCTTGATATCAGTGACAATAAACTCCGCTGGTTATTGAATATACAATCACAACAACGTAAAGTCTGAAAATGCAGAATTGCAATGAGATCTGAGAGTTTCTGTGATGATTTTCAGTGAAGAATGACTCTCACACAAAGCTCATGACTTCAGAAAACGTACAATATAGTGTGCAAATGTTCTCTTTTTTGCAGCTTGACATTATGAATAACCATCCACTTACTATGCATGGACAAAGGCAGCGTGAAAAGTATTTTGTGTTCTATGGGACAAAAAGTCAAACAGCTTCGGAACTACATGGGAATCAATAAATGATGACCAATATGCAGATGAATATTGGTCATCATTTATTGATTCCCATGTAACATTAACGTTAACATTAACATAATATAACATTAACAGGTCATGACAAAATTGTTTGTTAATGAATGGTTTTTCGATTTCTTCAGTGACAGTGAAGCAAAAACACATTATGGAAATAAATGTAATTAAATATACTGTTGACAAAAATATGACAACAATAAATAACACCTATAGATATTATCAATGCACTAGCAATTTTTTTTCTCCACGTTTTTTGCTAAATGTCAATATTTTAAATTAAGAAAACACAGACAAGGCTTAAGCCTAGTCCCAGACTAAAATGCATGTCTGAAATGTTTTAACTGAAATAAACTTGCAATGGCATATCTTAAAATGTTTGAATATTTGGTTTCATTTATCACTTTTTCACCCAAAAACGTTATTTTAGTCTAACATTAAAATAAAATAAGATGCCATTATTTAGTCACATATTGACTAAATGTAATTGAAATACAAAAACTGACTAAAACAACACAACAAAAAGTTAAGGTAACACTTTATTTCGATAGTCCACTTTAGACATTCTACTAACTACAAGTAACTTTGTAACTACATGTCAACTACATGTCTACTAACTCTCAGAGTAGACTGTTAGGGTAGGTTTAGGGTTAGTAGAATAAGTTGACAAAGAAAGTGTTAGAAGATATTAAGCAAACAGTCTACTAATACTCTACTAACTGCTAGTTGACATGTAGTTGCAAAGTTACTTACTGTTAATAGAATGTCTAAAGTGGACTATCGAAATAAAGTGCTACCAAAGTTAAATAAAAATAAATGAAAAATTGTTTAGGGGAACTATTCCTTCAAATTTAGCTTGTTGCAATTAGTTTCCTTGAGTAAGCAATCTGCTGAATGACACCCTCAGGAAGGGACTGCACATGCTTTGTGTCTTTCTCACCTGGACTATACTGCGAAGGTCCTGCACGTAGGTTTTTTCCGTTTCAAGAATTTCCTCCACCACTCGGTCCACATACTGGACTTTACGTCCTTCCGGCGACTGAATATCTGCATGGCTCTGATTGGTCGGTGTAGGTGTTTGTCGCCCCGTCTCCTCCTCCTCTAGCTGTCGGGCAGGCACCAGCTCCAGTCGGATGGCTCCAGAATCATGATCCCTCTCGGGAGCGGAGCCTAATACCGGCCGCCCCCCCAGCGAGCAGTGGCTGTCACGGGAGGAGGCGGATGAAGACGTGGAGCCGTAGCTCACCGGCCGCTCGTTGCAGTGCGTGGAGTCCATGCTGTGCGAGGAGCAATATCTCAGAGCAGAGTTTCTGATGGGACCACCTGCCTGGCTTAGGACCGGCCCTCCAGCAGGGACCTCCGGGAGTGGCGGTAAAACATCAGTGGAGAATGGATAATCTTCTGAAAGATAAAAAGTGGCTAGACCTTAGTTCAATGTGCCATAACTCGGTAAATAATGCAATATGCCATTTGATGCAGAATCAGTTTAAATTATATTTAAAAACTGAAAATGAACCTATGTTTCACGTTCTGAGTGGGAAAAGAAAGTATCACTACTTAGCGAACAGCAGTGTTGTATTGTAGCATTACATAAAAGCTCATTTTAACATCAATGTTTAAAAAAAAAACTTGATAATATATATGTAAATTAGTTTACAAACTTAACATCAAGAACATCCAGGTAAACAAGAACACTAGGTAATGTTTATTGCTCTACCTCCCTCCTTTGTCTTTCCTGACATGCTAGTTCGCTATGAGAGCGTAACGACGATTGCTAAGCATCACAACAATTGTTGATTATCTTGCATACACACACCCCAAGTAAGTCGTATACAAAGTCTATTCCTTACTATCTGCGTTGACCTAACACTTTGACTTTTCATTACTTTTTGAAGTATTAAAACCATACAGTTATGGCAGCCCGATGCAATATGCATATTGGGATTTGTACATTTGAGGAATTTTGATAAATTAGCATGCAACCCTGTTAGAAACTGTCATTCTTAAAGGGATAAAAAAAATGAGATATTATGAAGAATATTCTGAAACGGATGCTGGTCCCCATACTATCATGGTCCACATGATAACAGTTCCTCTTCAGGAACTCGAGCTGCGTCGAGAACGCTAGGGAAACGCCCTCAGTGACCCGCGCTCTGAATCACATGTGAAATCAGTCTCAATAGCTGAGCGGGATGTCACGGCGGATGACGTCATGACCGAGCATAGTATGCCTTATATTATAATGAGCAGCATTAATAAGGAGCGGAGCTCGCGCAGTCGGGGCGGATTGTGGTTTTTTTTTCCCCCCGCTATTAAACGCTCCGCTCTCGCCGGGCACGCTCCGAGGAGTGTGTCCGTGCCTGTGATCTTGCGATTGCGGTCCCGCTGCTGCTGAGGCACGGCAGCGACTGAGAATGCGGAGATCGCTCATGATCTAGCAGACGGGTTGGAGACGGCTCTCTCTGCGGAGGTCCCCAGAGCAGCTAATTCGGCGTCCCCTGTCGGCGTGCAGATGCTTCAAGGCACCGAACTAGCCGTTCTGGGCACACTAGAGATCAATCTTGAGAGACTGATTCCCTTAGTAGATTATTTAGCAGCGTGGAAGCTACTGCCAAATGTATCTCAATGGGTCCTGCGTGACGTGACGTCCCGCTCAGCTATTGGACTGATTTCACATGTGATTCAGAGCGTGGGTCACTGAAGGCGTTCCCTTAGCGTTCTCGACGCAGCGTCTCGTTCCCTCGAGGAACTAGGGTTACATACGTAACCTGAGACAATTTTTTCCCACATTTTTCCATTTTTTTGGGTGAACTGTCCCTTTAAATGGACTCTTGATTCGTGTCGAACACAAAATTATAACCAAAAATCCCACCCACTGCACTTATAAATTTGTTTCCCACAGACATAGATCTCAAGGGGGAACTTGCACACAAAAACATTATGAGAAACCCACAGTAATCTCTAGCATTCATGTGCAGTAATCGCTATAGTACACACACATACAGTACACACACTCAAAATGACTCTAGGTTTGTCTTTCAGACAACAGTGCTGGTCTCTCTCTGTTCCCGTTTTTCTCTTGTACACAATTTAAGAGAAAGCTAAAGGTTAACCTACTTTTAAGTAGCTATAACTATTTTTTATCTCACTAGTCTCACTGTCCCGTTATCCTAACATAGTAACACACCAATAGTAAATCCAAGAACACAACACTAAAATACATCATTTTTACATTCACAAAAGAAACTATGAGTGAAAACCTGTGGGTTTTATGGCTGATTCTACGCATTTGCTAATGTTTTTTTTTGCATAATGCTAGGTGATTAATAGGGTATTCTGGGTAGTTGCTAGGGAGGGACTTCTATCTAGAGACCAGAATATCACTGGAGGTGAATTGGGACTTGTACGGTAAAGACTTGGCACAGTAAACACTAAACAATACCTTATAAACCACTCAAATGTCCCTAGCACCATTCACGTTTTCTTCAGAAAATATAAAACTCAGGTGTTTATTTAATTTTGAGAGCTTTTACTGCTATAGGTAGAGTGCATGTGTCTGTAATTTTGGGTTTGATTCAGTTGTGTCTTAAACCAGTTGACAGTCACTCATCACATCACTCAGTGAATTACCATGGAACACACACACACACACACAGACAGAGAGAGAGAGAGAGAGAGAGAGAGAGTCTTTCATAAAATGAAAGGCCAGCACTGAAAGAGAGAGGCTTTAATGAGCAGATTAATGTGTAATGGAGACATTTCACTCTCTGGGTGAAAAGAAAGAGAGCTCTGTGTGACCGTGCATGTGTGTGTGTGTTGGTGTGTATGTGTGCACGTGTGTGGTTGTAGACTGTCTATTGTCAGACTCACTAACACAACATTGTAAGATCATCCAGACGCACCCACTCCACACACACTAGCACAGGTGTGCACACACAATCAACTCAGTGTAACACAGTCGTTTTTACCCTCCGTTAACACAATAGGTAGATTACCGCAGTGGGAAGGGGTAAGTGATATACATATAGGACAAAGTGAAGCATTGAATTACAATATGTCATACAGTTTGCACCAAATCACGTCATGTAAGCCAGTCACATGCAACAAGTAATCGCTCTCTGACAACAAAACCATATAAAGGGTTTCCAGGGAATTTAAGACTTTCTTTTTGTCTTGCAGTCAACCAAATGTCTCCTTCTCAGCTGCCAGTTATGAATAATCACCGCCATTACTCACTCAACACGGAGCCGTCTATATTATCCAGGGCTCCAGAGCAAATCCACATGATTGGCTCTTGATTGTTTGAGCCAGGCTGTGATTGGTTAATTCCTGTGCATGGCAAACTCACACACTGACCCACTTTCACGAGACAAACACAAAATGAGATGCAGCCATCAAGTAAACACGTATGCTTGTGTGCTGCATATTCATTTCAGTTGAACTATTGATGAATGGATACGTCTGTTTATGTTAGAGGCTTTGTTAATGTTTCATGCATCAGGTTCACTGATGATTGTGTGCTTTGTTGGGTGGGGTCGTGTTCAAGTAAAATAAACTTCAGTGGGTGTGTTTGTACACAGTTGCATGCTGTGTTTATCTTACAGCTGAGATTCTGTTGTGATTCAGTTTGGAATTTACGTTTTACCTATTAAAATGCAAAAAGACAGCACGCTGTTGCTCCCAAATGTGCACACCACAAACATGTCTTCATAATATCACTTTTTCTCACCCAGTATAAATGTTTTTTTTTTATATATATATATATATAAATGAAAACATATGCCTGTCTTTATATTTCAGGAAGGATGTCCCTTGCATGGGGATCATCTTTTTCCCCCACAAGGGGATGTAGCCAATATTAGCTCAAGAAGCATGCATGGACTTTGAAAATCCACCAGAGATAGTAAATCATCTAGGCACCTTCAGCATTCTAATACTAATCTTGCATACTAAACCATCCCAGACTTACAACAGGAGTGGAATGCAACAGCTCAAGTGTCAGCCTGGTAACACCGCACACAAAGTTCAGTCAGTTTCAAGTTTTACGTCAGTTGCCACTGACCATTAGAACAGCCAATGGCTTTGTATCATCACACGGGCTTGTCAGCATGAATGAAAACATTTGAGAGGCTGATTCTGTGATACATCAAGAGATAACAAGTTCTACAACCACAAATGCATCACAGCACAGATTGGAATAGTTCAGTCTAATGAATAAATCAGCCACTTAATGAGACGCATTTCAGTTAGGATGAGAAAACCACACCCCTTTTTCACATTTCCCAAAACAACAAAAACAGCCCAAGGGTTTTAGAAGCTCATTATAGCCATATAATACACATTCATGTTTGCTGTATAAATTCATTTATATATATATATATATATATATATAGTTTTTATATATAATGAGGTCAAAAGGAAATCTCGCATGAGGTCACAGAAAAAAAGAGACCAAATCCTGGGTTATTAGACAAACATTTTTAATGAACTAAGCAGGATTGCATGTGATTAACCTGACCTGTTCTCTTTACCTGTACTGTGCTGATACATTGTACTTGTACAGTGCTATTAATATAACATCTATCCCTCATTTTCAGCTTCTAGCAGATGAGGAGACTGACAGCGGGACAGGTGGGACGGGATGGGGACGGATAAAGATTTAAGCATTAAAAGCTACCTACCATAATGCATTATCAATGAAAGAGGTTGATGGCCTCGATCTCGTAAAACTCCACTGAACTAGAAAACAGTGCTGTCCCATGTAGTTTATCAGAGCATAAGCCATTACGGCGGACTCGTTTTCGGTTAATAATTTTGATCAATTTAGTATCAGTTTAGTAGATGGCCCATTGAGAAGTGGCAGTGCTCCTTTTCCTTTCCAAATTATTTGTTGCCACTCCTACACTCTAAAAAATGCTGGGTTAAATACAACCCAGTGCTGGGTTTGTCCCTATTTTACCCAGCACTGGGTTGTATTTAACCCAGCATTTTTTTAGAGTGTAACCATAAGTGACAAAGCCACGAAAGATTGCTTTTATATGAATACAATTATCAATCCAAACTAAAACATGCCAAAAGTAAAATATTAATCACAATGCAATGTTTATCATCTACAGGTTTAATCTTTTTATTGTAAAGGTCCATTCACACGAAGAAGGATAACTACAAAAACAAAAACATTAACTATATTGATGTCAGAAGTCAGAAAGAGCTTTATTACCAAGTATGTTTACACACACAAGGAATTTGACTTGGCGACAGGAGCTTCCAGTGCATAATGTCTACACGGATGCACAATAATGTCCTGTTTATTATAAACATGTACTGCAGTTGTCGTCTACTGCTTTAAATGCTTGAGCTCTTTAAAGTCGGGTGGATTGTGATTTGCTGTCAAAGTTTTT